AGGGTCTAAGGAGATAGAAGAGAAATGGTCTCAGGGTCAGGGAAGAATGGTTAGAAAGCAGCCAGGAAGATGCTGAATAAAGGAGAGACTCCAGTTTTGCAGCATGGAACTAGAGCTCTCTAAAGATGACAAGATGCCTGTTCCTGGTCTTTATAGCCGTTGGGTTGCTAGGAATTTCTAAGTCCACGCTCCCCCACTCAGGCTGGACCTCGTGGCTTCTGTGGTTTGGGACTGAGACATGATGGGCCATGACAGAGAATCCCTTCTTTGCTTATAGCTTTCTGGACACCTTGCAGAATTCCTACTACAGTGCTAGAAAGAAAGTGCATTCATTCCCTCACTTTCTGGACAGTGGGTCTGAAGCTCAAGGAAGGCTGATATGTTGTTGCCTAGTTCTTTATTCCCCTTTCCATCCAGGAAATACAAGGTGGATGCCTTTGTCAGGCACAGCTAGGTATCTTTCCAAGAGGAAATAGAACTAGCATTTATTGATCATTTACTATGTTCCAGGCTTTTCTGGGGTGAGGGGTAGGAGAGGGAGTACAGGAAACATTGGAGCCTTGCAGGGATTATCAGAAAGGTGGTGAAATGAGATTAAAGGGGACTAAGGTGAGTGTGGAGAGAGTCTGGGAAGGAAGTGTAAAGGCGGCAGGGATGCAACCAGAATTGAGCAGGAAGTCCTGTTGCACTGTCCAGGCAATTCATTGCACAGAATTCAGTCCCATTCTATGCCTGGTGTGGGCTCAAGAGGCTTCAGAGTGTTCAGTATTGGCAGGATGTGTATATGAGGGGACGATGACACATAAAGACTTGGCCAGAGGGGTCAGTGCACCTGTTCTGGAGCAGTAGCAACTATTTGGGGCCCTTGAGAATACCTGGACCATGGTCAAATACAGCTGATGAAAGGAGTGGTTTGAGGGGAGAGGTTGTGGTGATGGGGTAAGTTTGGGGTACAGAAGGGGGAACAGAGACACTCGTAAGGTCAAGAAAAGCCCCACAGCACCGAAACCTGCTCCCTCTCCTTCAATGGCAGATTCCACAGCAGGTGGGGAAGTTGTGCTCTGTGAAGTAATCTCTCAAGTAGGGAATTTCTCTGCTCAGCATGATGTAAGTGCTGCTGTTGGCTAATCTCCATAATGCCAGACACCTTACATACCTTATTTCTAATTATCCACATTTTATACAAATGCAAGCAAAGCTCACGGGAAGGGAGATGACGTACTAAGTAGTGGCCAGGCTAGAATTTGGACTGTGTTTGAGATCTCAACTCATGATCAATGGCCTTTCCAAAATTGAAATCCACCTAAGTCTTCCATAAATCTGAAGATCATAAAACACTTCACCACCTCTATATTTTGTATGTTTTTAAAAGTAGGGAACATGTAACATTTTGTTTAAGGAATGTTTATAAACATTTGCCTTCTTCACCAGTGGCTCAGCCACCCACTTCCCCTCCTTGCATGTTAGCAAGAAGCACTAACTTCTCAGCTCTTTCTGGGATACTACATGCATTGATAAACATACACACATAGGTGAACTCTTTCAAAAAACAAAGCATGTACTATTATGTATGCTGTGAGCCTCTTGGCTCTTTAGAGTGCCGGGCTGTATCTGCTTGCCCATACAAATAAAGCAGCAATCTCTTTGTGCCTCTGCAACCGTGAAGCAGATTGCCTGTGATGCACATCACATCTTGGCTTAAGGATTATTCAATAATAAAAGTATTTCTTTCTCTTCTGCCTTTCTCGAGAGAGAGAGGTCTTCTGGGTTGGGAGACAATTTTGTTTTCCATTATATTTCCTCAGCATAAGAGTGGCCGGCCACCTCTCCTATTCCCCCCATCCCCTCCCTGGCAGCCCCAATTTCCTGCTAAGCTAGGTGTCCTTAGTGGGTGATTCTGACAGTACTGTAGATTTGATCTGTGAAACTCCTCTCTGGGCTGCCATGGGGGTGCTGGAAGTGGCTGTGGCTTTCCTCCATGGCATTGCTGAATGCAATCTTCTTGTGGTATGATATCTAGAACCTAGTACATTGTGAATAACCACCACCACCCAGATGTAGAGTGGGGCTCAGGTTGTCTGGTTTTAAGCTTGGATCTGTCTCTGACTAGAGGTACCAGCTTGGAGAAGTCTCTTCATTCCTACCCCCACAGTTTTCCTATCTTCAAAACAAAGGCTCCAGGCTGTTTCACTTCCAATGAAATGGCTTAATTTGAACTCAAAGGAAGTCTTTGATCAGGACCTCAGGCACAGTCTTCTATCTCACAGGTGCCTTCCTGGCCTCTTGCAGAAAGCCTTCTTGGAGCTATGCCACCGTGGCCTGTGGCCAAGCTGGGGCCACAAGTGGAAGTGGCCTCCTCTTTCCTTCCCAGTCTCATGCATCAACCTCAAAGCTCCTTGAGGTCCAAAGTCAAGTTTCCCTGGTGGTTGTTTGGTGCCTGGCATAGAGTGGCAATCATATCCCAGTATCCTGAGCATGCCAACGGGCCACATTCCAGGTATGCAAAATGCTCCTGCACTTGTCTCATTAACGCTGTCAGCATGCTGACAGAAACGCCCCCTTCTGGCTGAAAAGGAAACAGTTGGAAGATATGAAGCAAGGAGCCTGTTTCTCACTTGGCCAAAAACGACTGAGCTGGGTTTTAAGTCTAGGGCCCTGAGAGCTGTATTTTGGCCGAGTTTTCCCTCTTTGGATCTCACATTCTGCTCTCTCTCCTGGGCCTGTAATTCTGTTTTAAGAACCCCCCAGTTCCATCTCTGCCCTTCTCAGTGTGGCTCCTTCCTGTTGAGGCTAGCCTCTTGGCATGGCTGTTCCCTGGATTCTTTGAATCCTGGCTTCCACTTGAGTCTGGTCTGTGGGATCGAAGGTCCAAAGGGGGAAATGGTCATTGTTTCCTGCCCCCTCTGCCTGCACTTTTCTCTGTCCCAAACTTTTGCGTCCTCCAGTCAGGTCCTTTCCAAGGGTTAGCTTCCTACTAGATTCCTCAAAAATATTTGTTTTCTACTTTCCTAATGCGGCAACACTTAATTTAGTACAGTTCCTCATGTTGTGGTGACCCCCCTAGCCATAAAATTATTTCTTTGCTACTTCATAACTGTACTTTTTTATAAATCACAATGCAAATGTGCAGGATATCAGACATGTGAACCCACGTGGGGGTCATGACCCACACGTTGAGAACCAGTGCTCTAGAACTCCTTTTACACACATGCCAAGGGATTAGTGGTGGCTGCTTCCCAGGCTACTGACCCTGGATGCTTCCAGAATCTCTGCATTCTTTCTGTCTGTGCATCTCAGCAATAGGTCCCTTTTTAAATCCCTGTAAGCTGTTAATAAATGTTTTTTTTTTCCCCTTAAGCCCTCTCCTCTGAATGGCTAGCTGCTTTTTTTCAGGACCTAGAGGGCTCTGTGCAATCCTGTCTTACCCCCTTTTCTTTTCTGTTTTGATGCACTAAGATGTCCCAGAGCCTGGTTCAACAATGGCCTCAAGCATCCCTGTGCTTCCTCCCCTCCTCCAGGAGAGCACTTTCTTCGTGGGAGCTGTTATATATCAGCCATGGTTCAAGCCTCAGGTACCTGAGTAGGGGAGGCAAGAAGGGGACTCTGAGTAGTTGCTGTTTGTGATAACTTAGCTTCCTCCTATCTGTTCACTTCCCTTGCTGATTCCCTTCCCGGGACTGCACCTTCCATTGGTGAGCTAGTTGGCTTTCTTTGGCTTCTGCCAACATGGGGCTTATAGACAGCATCCTGGTAGTAGGATCCTAGTGTGTGCAAGGGATCCCTTCAGAGCCCAGGGAGACACAGGTGCTGGAGGCCACTTGGTAACATTTTGTTCAAGACAGCTGTCCTCTTCTGACCAGAGTTCCCTGAAGTGCCTCCATTGCGTGTGTCCTGGGATCAAAGCCTGACCTCCCATTTTTCCATCCCCACAGTTCCCTTCTAACCTAAGCAGCCTTCCTGGTCTATTTGTACATGTCTACATTTTATAACCCATGACACGTGGCTGCCTGAATCACTGTTTGTTGACCCTGATGCAGTGGCAGAAGTTACACATTAGCCACAATATGAAAATTGCTCCAGAATAATTAGAAACTAGGTTTCTAATTAGGCCTCCCAATTTCTCTTTTAGAATTGAATCCTTGGGACTAAAATTGAATCAGCCATCACAGATCATGCGGACATTTCCCCCCTAAAGAACAGTCTTTAAATAAAACACTTTGATCTTTCAGATCCTTCCTGGGAGTTCCCAGTCTTGACTCCTGGTCTCCTCCTGGATACCTGTACCCTCACTGCTCTAACCCTACTACTCCCAGAGTCTTTTGGTGACAGTCATCAGTACAGGGAAACCTTAGGGTCATTAGGTTCTTAGTTGAGCACTGAAGAATGTTTTTAAATCCCAGAAGGGGAATTTATTAAGCAAATTTTGGCACACACATATAGGAACATAGTATAATCATCTATCCATCATGCTGCTAAAGAGTCATTAGCATACAAACAAAACCTTCCTACATAGTATGAAGCTCAGGGTAATCCCATCTTATTAAAACTAGAAAGGAATTATATACTTTAGATTGTTAATAGTTTTCACCTCTAAGAATTTGTGAGTAAGGCATTATCTTCATTTCTTTGTGTGTGATTTCTGTTTCTTTCCCCTCAACAGTCATGCATTATGTAATACAATTTAAGAGCATTTTGTTTTTAAGGAAAAGGAATGTTTCCAAAGTATTAGTACATTATGATTGCAATTATCTAAAAAAATATGAAGTGTGAAGTTATTCTTGTATAAACATGATATGAAACAATTCAGTTCCCTGGAAACACAGAGTTAAGAACCAGATGGGACCTCTCCACCTCTCACCCTCCCATTCTGTATTTTCTTTGTACAAGGAATCTAGCAATGCTGTCCATGGACAGACAGCTCTGTCATAGGTCCCAAATTGGACTATGTGGCTGCCTACAGAGAGACCACTGATTCCCTAGGCAGGAGCAAGCTTACTTACCCTCAGTGCACAGTCTTTTCCAGGGGCCTGGAGCTGGCCACGCATCAGGAAGGTGCTAAGTCCTGCGAGGATGGAAAATGACAACAGGCAGCAGATGACAGCCAAGCATGTTTTGTTGCTGGCTGCTAGCCTGGCCCTGGCCTCTGGCATCTCTACTCTGGCTGCTTCCTCAAAGCCCAGCCCCAGCTCCTCAGTCATGCTGCTGCTCTCCTGGAGGAACTTCTGAGTCCTTCTGACCAGAGACCCCCCATTAAATAGGAGAGCAACTGTCACACTGGGTGAATTAATGCTCTGCCTCTCCTCCCCTTTTTACTCCCCCCTCCCTCTGACAACCCTCTGCAACCCGCCCTGCCCGACTAGGGAATGTGCCGCCTACAACAGAAACTAAGTTTGGTTTAAGAAAAAAAAAAAAAAAAAAAAAAAAAAAAAAAAAAAAAAAAAGAAGGAGGAGGAGGAGAAAGCTTTCCCAAGCATATTTATATACAGTACGCTCATGTGCTCTTTCCTTCATTTACAGAAGGAAGTCAGGAAAGTCCCTGGAGGAGGAGAAACGGAATGCATCAAGTCAGTGGGTGGGGCATATTAAAATGTACCTGCTCCCTGTGCTGGACTCCTGCCAGATGGGCTGGACTGAGGAGTGTGTTCCTTCTGGAAGTGAAAGTGAGGGCTGGGAGGTGTGTGGCTTGCAACAGGAAATGGAAGTCACGTTTACATCAGCCCTTTGCCAAGTGCCTCTTAGTCTCTTGCCCAGACAGCAACTCCCTGTCATTGCACAGATGGAAACTTGGAGGTTTCCGAAAGGTAAAGGTACCTGCTCTAGGTCATTCTGGGGGTAAGAGAACAGAGCCAGGATGGTGTCCATTCTAAGTCACGATTGGAGATGGACGTCACCTGTGAAACACAAGGACATTTCTTCTTTTCTTTTCTTATCTTTGTTCTTTTCTTTTTATTGGTTTTTAGAGACAGGGCTTCTCTATGTAGCCCTGGCTGTCCTGGAACTCACTATTTAGACCAGGCTGGCCTTGAACTCAGATATCTATCTGCCTTCCGAGTGCGAGTGCTGGGATTAAAAGAGTGTGCCACCACTGCCTGGTTCACATAAGGATATTTCTAACCTGTTGAAGACAGTCCATGAAGAGAGTATCTGGGGAGGTTAGAAGTGACTGTCAGAGAGATAAGGACATGGACTCTGTGCTCCTGTTTCCCAAAGTTAACTTACTACCAATGTTTTGCCTTGCCTGTATAGGCTGTGGATGGGAGAGGGGTAAGACATGATGGCCAACACAACACTACAAGGGTTAGCACTCACCAAGCACTTGCTTTTTAACTCATTGCTGGGAGTTAAGTATGCCAGTCTCTTTATTCTGTCCTGAGGCAAGTGGTTTTTTTTTTTTGTTGTTGTTGTTTTGTTTTGATTGTTTGCTTTGTTTTTGTTTTTGAGACAAAGGCTTGTTATGTTGTGTTGGCTGTCCTGGAGCTCACTCACTAGGTATACTGGGCTGGCTTCAAACTTACAAAAATCTTCCTGCTTCTGACTCCATAGTGCTGGGACTAAAGGTGTGCAGCACCATACCTGGTCCCGAGGTGACCTTTCCAGGTACTTGCTTCACAAATGAGGTGACTGAGCACAGAGAGTCACAGAGAGGGCGTGACTCCAAAGGCAGACAGACTGGCTTCCAACTGTAAACATCACCTCCCACTGCACATGCTACCATTCTGTGCACACATACACAGGTTCCTTGTACCTGCTCTGTTTGGAGGAATGAACCCCCTTTAGGGAGGGTATGAGGGGCCTTCTGGAGGGGGAGGTGGTGTTTGAACTTGGTGTTGGAGGTAGGGAGGGGTGACGTCAGAGAAGAGGAGAGGAGAGGAGCCCATATACAGGTGGGCTATAGAAATCAGGAATCCAAGGTCAGTGAGATGGCTCAACAGGTAAAGGTGATGACTTGAGTTTAATACTTGAAAGCTACATGGTAGAAGGGGAGAACTAACAAGTTGTCTTCTGACTTCTGTGTCTACACTGCACCACATATACCTACAGAATAAATGAATGGGTAAGCAATAAAGAGGGGAGAAAGAAAGAAAGAAAGAAAGAAAGGGGAAAAAAAGAAAACCAGGAAACTAGATGGCCTATGGCCTGGACCTTGCTTATTGTCAGTCCTCCCTAGGGCCCAGCCTCATCTCTTCCTACATTCTCAAGCTGTAGTTTCTCCAGTCCTCTTCAGACTAGTGCTCACCTGTGGCATTTCCTCTGCTGTGGAAGCTTCCACTTTCCTTTTCTTTTGCCCACGCATCCTATACTCCTCAGCTGTACCTAGAACCCTTTGTTGCACCCCTTCCTCAAACTGGATACGATGCTGCCTTCAATGTTCATCCCATCTTTTCTTGACCTGGAATGCTTCGTACTAGACTTGACTTGGCTGTTTCTGTGACTTTCATTGCACCAGCATCAGAGCCAGGAGGGTAGGTGCTAAGCCATGTCCCTCCCCTGTGGTTGTTGCTCCTAACATGGTAGTGGTTACAAACTGAATAGGTAACACCCATTGAGGTGAATTCCAGAAAAGGGTGCTTTTTATGTCCCCTTTTTTCTCATGCTTAATTTATCAAACCTACTAAGAAACAGATCTTTGAGAATGGTTCAAATCTTTGCTATTGTAACTTAACCATTTCTTTTGGTGATGGAGCACTGTACCATGGAACAGATGTTCCAGTTTGTTTAACCTTACCCACTGAAGGGCATTCAGGTTATGTCTGGTCATTACAGATAAAGCTGTTATGAATACTCAGGTAGAGGTTTTGTGCAAACTTACTTTTATTTCTTTGGCATCGATGACCAAGAGTGACTTTGCTGAGCTGTATGGTGAGCACATGCTCATTGTGTTAGAAAGTGCTGCAGTTGTTTCAGAGAGGTTGTACCTTTTCACTCTCATCAGCAGCATGTAAGAGATTCAACAGCCTTTCCAGAATTTGGTGGTAGTACTTGTTTTTATTTCATGCATTTTCATTTATATCGAGTGTGTGTGTGTGTGTGTGTGTGTGTGTGTGTGTGTGTGTGTG